CACAAAATTTAGGAGTTAATTTCCTTTAATTCCTAAAACAAAAATATTTCAATTTAAATGCATTGCATATAGAAATTAGGCACATTTTGCATTAATAGGGTATATTAGAGAAGATTAATTAAAAAAAAAAAATTTCGAGTCGCGCCGGGTCGAGCTGGGCCGACCCGGCCCATTTCTTTTTTCCTTTTTCCCCCGGGCCCGGCCCCTTTTTCTTTTCTTTTTTCCCTTCGCGCGGGCCCGGCCCGCTTTCCTTTTCTTTTCTTCTTTTCCCCCCGCAGCTGGGCCTGGCCCGGCCAAGCCCTTCTTCCTTCCTTCCTTCCTTCCCCTTGCGCCGGTCGCTCTCTCTTCCCCTGTTCTCCCCTGTGCACGACCGAAGCGTGACGCATGGCGGCGCCGCTCCTCATCGTCGTCATCCGGTCAGAGGAGGCCCAGGCGAGCACGCCACAGGGACTGGCCATTAAGGCCAGTCCCGTCTTCCCCATTTCCCAGGCTCTCTCTCCCTCTCTGCCCCGTCTCTCTGCACCCTCTCTGCACCGGCCCCCCCTTTTGCTCTGCTCTGCACCGGCCTGCCATGGCCGCGAAAGTCGCGGGGCAGGTAGGCCGGTGCAGGCCGTCGTCATTGCAGACGTAACGAAGCCGGGGGACGCCGTCGTTCGCCTATAAAAACGAGAGAGAGAGAGCTCCGGTCGGCCATTTTTTGGAGAAAAATACAGAGGGAGCGTGAGAGCGTGAGCCGGGAGAGACAGGAAGCCTCCGGCAGCCACCGCGCCTCAGCCATCCATCCCCGTCGCCGAGCCGACGGCGGCGACACAGAGAGAGAGAGTGGGTCGGGCCGTTTGAAAAAAAAGAAACAGAGAAAGACAGAACCGAGAGAGGAGAGAGAGAATAGAGAGAGAGAGAGAGAGCAAACCGAGGCCACGCCGGAGCAAGAAAGACAACCAGCAGCGTCGCCATCGCCCACGGAGCAGCCGGAAGGCCACCCAGACGCGCCGTCGACCGGTGAGCCCCCGGCCGAGAAGCCCCTCTGTTTTCCCCTGTTTTTTAGCGTGGTTAGGCCGGGACTCGCGCTGGCCGTTTCGCGCGAATCTCGGCCCATACCGTCGTCGGTCCCGATCCCTAGTCACCGTCGGAGGTGAACCCAAGCCGCCGGAGTCGACCGGATCGCTGGAGGAGGTCGGAATCCCTCGTTTTTCCACGCATCCGCCAGGCGTTCGACGAAATGCCTCAACCAGGCCGGTTTTTGTTTCATCGTCGGCCGGCGAACGGTGGTCCGACGGCGGCTTAGGTGAGTGGCACAGCCCACAGGCGGTCCTCGTCGGGTGATTTGGGGGCGGCACTGGCCTGGGTCAGCCGGCGGACGGCCAATTTTGGCCTCTCCGGCGCCCCCCTCCCTGCGGGTCTGTATGTTCGGGTCGGTTCCGACCGACCCGGATTAACAGATCCGACCCGGGTCAATGCCAGGGTCGGATCCGTTGACCGGGGTTGGTTCCGACCCGGCCCGGATCCGCAACCCGACCCGGTTTAATATTATATTAATATTAATATTTTTATTTTATTTTTTTAAAAAAAATTTTAATTTTTTAATTTTTTTTGTACTATATATATTTCGAAAAAAAAATTCAATTTTTTTTTAAAATTATTGTGTGATATATTCTAAATATTTAATTTATTGTAGTATTATTGTGCATATTTTTGTCTTGTTTAAATTAGACAAGCCTGAGATTGCGTGGTAATATTTTGCATGTTGATTTTATTACCGTTGTGTTATTATGCATATTTTTAATACAATTGCATGAGCTGTTGTATTTTTTGAATGTCATCTGACTTAGTTAAGGTTAGAACCTTAGGCTACATGAATTGTTGTGTTCCTGACTGCTGATCGTTTCTGATTATGCACTCGCTTGATCACCTCACATGTTAAGAGAAAGATCCTAAAATCAATCCAAATTGCCTGACAAATGTTTTCAAAAATGAACAGGGTAGAATGGTACCGAAAGGGCATTAGTTATCCAACTAGTGTAACCAAGTCCCCGAACTCATTTAATCTCTGGTTAGTAGGAATAGGGCGATTCTCCGATCACCCTATTTGGGTTTCTAATCGACCCACCCCAAATCGATTAGTGATGACTCCTTGGTATAAACTACTTGCATGTTAAATACTTAAACCCTAAGTCGCGATATGGTATGGGCTTGGGAGGGCCCGAGTTAAGTCCCGAACCTAGACTTAGCACAAACCAGGCGAGCCCCCCTTGTTTTTGCATGTTCGATATAAAAGGGCTCGGGAGTTCGGTTGCGACAGGAGTCTAGTGCAGTAGGGAATATCTGTTGCCTTACTGATGGTCAATTTGCAATTGAATCCTCTTTTTTCTTTTTTTGGCCTTTCTCTGCCTGATATGATTAATCATAAGACAAAGATAAATGAGCAAGATCACAAATAGCCATGTCATCGACAGTCCCAAATTACGGGATTCTCGACTTGGCATCGAGAAGTTATGCCGAACCGGAGTCGAATACGAGACATCTTGCTTCTCAAATCGCTAGGTCTGGGTCGCCAGGTCTGAATCACGTCACTTTCACCAATTAGCTCAACTAGTTCCTTGGATTGAGTTGCCTTTGAAAATTCCCTCAACTAATGCAGTTTTTTCCTTGACAGAACCTTCTATTAGCAGACTAAAGAGATGAAGACAGGTCTGATATTGACAGTATAGAAAGGAAATTTCCTTGGGCGGCTACTTCCTAATAATTTACCTATTCGACTTGACTTTGAATTCCTAAAACTATCATTTATTTATAGGATTAGTACCACGAAAACCCAAACTGGTACATCTGTGATAAATTTACCCCAAACTAATATTTTGTCCACCAAAAACCCCAAACTGGTACATTTGTGACAAATTTACCCTTCGTCAGTTTCCGTTAAATTGGATTCATACCACGAAAAATCACAAATTGGTACACCTGTGAGAAACAGAGAGTAAAACCCCAAACTGATACACCCGTCAACTGTCACGTGTTATCCAATTCAGCAATTTAATGCTAAAATTTAATGGAAACTAACGGAGGGTAAATTTGTCACAAATGTACCAGTTTGGAGTTCTTGGTGGACAAAACATTAGTTTGGGGTAAATTCACCGGTCCACACTTTTTATTATTTATTCCTAACGATTATTTTGCGCTCTTACAACCTTTGAAAGGTTGTATCTATTCATGCATTTTTTTAGTTAATAATTACTCTACATTTCTTTTCATTAGACTGACTTCCATTTTCATTTCTTTCAACAGATATATAGCTATTGTTTTCAATTGTTTCCTTTTGAGAGTTCCTGGAGCAATACCAGAATTACTATTTGGTGTTCAAGTTTGAGACTTGTCGTATCTTGGACGATTTTTGTCAGTAACCATTAGGAACTTTCGTGTCCTATTGAAACAATTTTACTGTTCGCAATAGAGTTAAGGTTATTTTTTATTATTTAATTCCGAATTTTATTATTTTTGCCTAACGATTATTATGCGCTTTTACAACGTTTGAAAGGTTGTTGGGGGTTGGTGGGATAAAGGTGGATAAGTGGATATAGCTTAGATAAGAATATTCATTGGGGGTTGGTGGCATAAAGGTGGATAAGATTTCTTATATTCAAGTTATAATAGTTATTTTGTAGAATAACAAACTTCTTAAATTAATAAAATTAAAATAATAATTAATAGAAATAATATTTGAATTCTAATATAAAAAGAAAATTCAATATAACAAAAAAATGTTTTTTTCATTTTTATTTATTCCTTTTTTTATTTATATAATTGAATTTCTTTTTACTCTATAATATATATTGTGTGTGTATACATATATATATATATATATATATATAGTATCTATATATATAACATATTTTAAGTATATTCGTATATTTTATTATGCAATTTTTATTAAGGAATGATGGAAGTGAATAGTGAGAAATTTATCTATATTTTACCTTTTTTTATTATCTCCATTTATGCATTTGTAGTTTCTTTAGGAGTGAATCGTGAGAGATTCTTATAATCTCCATTTGTATATACCAAATAATGGATAGGATAGATGAAAATACTTAGCTTTATTATTGCGATTCACCAAACAAAGGAAATGATATAGAAAAATATTTGGATTTCATATCCTATTCTATCTAATCTTATCTTGGCTAGAAATTCAGACGACCAAACGCAGCCCAAGTACCATTAGTGATTAAATTTTGGGTTTGTGAGTGTTATCAATTGTTTATGAACCATGGGATGACTTCTTCTTTTGTTGGGTGGAGGAAGTGGAGAAGGATCTGCATTATAATTTTCCAGTGGAGTGTGTTGGATAAATTGGAAAATCGAAAAAAGGATGGTGCAACTGGGTTAAAAGAAGAAAACACTGATGGTGAATGGGGTGGGAATCAAGCTCATAGGCAAAGCAAGATTGGCATGTTGCAAGGTCAAGATGATAGGCTCTGACACCATGAAACAGCAAAAATATGTTTGAATGTCTCTTGTCTTCACAATTGTAAAGAGAGTGAAAGTGCAGCAGAAAATCAAGTTCGGAAGGTTATGTGAGTATCGAAGTTACAAGTTCTCTGACCAAAAAGAAAAGTTACAAGTTCAGATCTGAACTAATTAAGATTAAAACAACAAGATCAAATAAAATTAAACTGAAAAACATTATTTGAAGCTGCCTAATGTTCTCATTATTTACCAACAATTATTGAAATCAATGAATACGACGGAAAAAAATTCTAATTTTTTGTCTCGGAATAATAGAATTCCGCTATATCCTGGAAAAAGTGGTTAGCGCCATACCAGGTTCGTAGGAGAGAAGACGAGGAAGAGAAAACCAAGTGATGTTGGGGCAGCTAAATAGAATATTTTTTAGCAAATAGGTACAGGAAATTAATAATTTGACCATTTCTTAATTGCATCACACATAACGATTAAACTATAGTGTTGCTTGAATGATATTTTTTATTTCAAGTTTTGAAGTTGAAAAACCTTCACGTGCTTCTTCTGCTGACAATTTTGTAATCCACAAGTCATTCTCTTCGAACGGGTCACCAAACCCGAAATTCTAAGAAATTGACTCAAAACAAGCGAAAGCAATCTCCTGGAAATTGCCCTTAGCTGCAAAGTCAGAGGCTAACGTGGGACCATGAATTCTGCGGCTCATAAATCTCAGCTCAAACTTGAACTTGAACCCGGATAGACTAAGAAATGGCTCACTACCAAAGTGTTTCGTTGATCATCCACTTCCTTCTGGCTTATTTGATCCTCCCCAGTTTAGTCCGCCTTTCACACGCCGATCCTCCTTACCAGCTCTGTTCAGAAACCGGGGATTACGCCGTCAATGGCACGTTTCAGAATAACCTCGACAGTCTCTTCACGAATTTGTCCTCGAATGCTTTCCTCTTAAAATTCTACAGCACCTCTTATGGCAATGGCACAGACAGAGTCTATGGTCAGCACATGTGCTTGAATTACGTTAGTAATCAAGATTGCCAAAACTGCATTGATTTGGCCTCACAGGACATACTGAGGCTCTGTCCTAATGATACTGAGGCGATTGTCTGGGAGGAAATCTGCCAGTTGCGGTACTCGAGTCGGGACTTCATTAGAAGTTTGGACGTTACTGGCAATATTTGGAAGGATAACGTGATGAATGTTTCACGACCCGATTGGTTCAAATTAGTCGTCAACACCACTCTGCAGAATCTCACGAAAGTGGCGGCTTTTGATCCTTTGTCGGACACATATGCAACCGGCGCAGTCGAGTTTAAAGATGCAAGTGCATCGATGCTATACGCACTGGTGCAGTGTGGAAGAGACATATCTGGAAGCGACTGCAACATCTGTCTTCAACAAGCTATAACAGATGTGTTGGCGAACTGTTCCTCCTCAGTTGGCGCGAGGATTCTTAGCCGTAGCTGCTATTTGAGATATGAGCAGTACGCGTTCTATGAAGGCAAAACTGCACCCGAGCCTAATCAAGCCACCCAGGGAGGTAAGTTTTAGCAGTTCTCACTTTCTGTGCTTAACCTTTGGTACTGTTGTGTGCATCAGATTCAGGATTAGTGATAATCGCAATTAAGTTCCGCACAGTGCAGGTAGCAGAATGTTGTTGATTGTGATTCTTACGATCGTAGCTGCTGGATTAGCAGTACTTCTTTTAGCTTCCTGCTTTTACTATCTCCGAATCCATAGAAGAGAGGGGAGAGGTAATTTGCTCCTCAGTAGTGCTTATTGAAGCCTTGAGGCATGTTCTCCTAATTGTCCTGCCTTTTTCTCGTCCTCCTAATTTTGTATCCTTCTTCAAATTCTTTTCAGGAAATAAATTGGTTATCCAGCTCGGTGTGCTTCGCAATACTGGCTATACCAGTGATAGTACTAGTTTCATGAACCGGAATTTTCAACAAAGATTAGACAAAAATGTTCCGGATTCCCCATTTATCGACTTTGCGACCATACTAACTGCTACTGACTATTTCTCTGCTTTGAACAAGCTGGGACAAGGCGGTTTTGGCCCGGTTTACAAGGTAATGAGGATATACAATACAGGGGAAAATGTCTAAGGACTATTGTCTAAATTTGCTGAAATTGAGATTGTGATCCTAAGCAGAAACATTGGCGTCAACTTTTTTCAGGGAATTCTGGGAGATGGAAGAGAGGTAGCTATCAAGAGGCTCTCAAGCACTGAGCAAGGTACTGATGAATTTACAAATGAAGTCTTGCTCATAATGAAGCTCCAGCATAAAAATCTTGTTAAGCTTTTGGGATTTTGTGTCGATAATGAAGAGAAGATCCTTGCCTATGAGTACATGCCCAATGGCAGCCTGGATGTCATCCTTTTCGGTTCGTTGACTGAAACAGCATCAAGTTTTGTTCGATCAATAATCTAACTTATCATTCTAAAATTTTCATTCTTGTTTTTTGCTGCCAGATCGAGAGAGACGGGCAAAACTTGACTGGATAAAACGCATCAATATCATAAGTGGAATAGCACGTGGGGTTCTTTACCTTCACGAGGATTCCCGCCTAAGAATCATTCACAGAGACTTGAAGATGAGCAATATATTATTGGATTCTGAGATGAACCCAAAAATATCTGATTTTGGAATAGCTCGGATTTTTTCTGGAAACGATGGTGGAGCCAACACCGCAACCATAGTAGGAACATAGTGAGTCCAATGTTTTGGGTTTTATCTGTTTATTACTGGTTGATAATTTGAAAATATACTTTGCAGATGAAAATTTGAAGAAAAAATTGCCATTGAAACAACGTTATAGCCCTATAGGCCACTTCAGATGACAATGTTTGTTGAATGTCTCAATTGATCTTTTCCTTTTCTAATTATGTGGAACAGTGGATACATGGCGCCGGAGTATGCTATGGAGGGACTATATTCGACTAAGTCCGACGTTTTCAGCTTCGGAGTTCTTGTGCTCGAGATGATAACAGGAGAAAGAAACGCTAGCTTTCATCTATCGAGACGAGCACCAACCCTAGCTGCATATGTGTGATATTTTCACTAATTATGATTAGTATTTGTCTTAATTAATAGGAAAGTGAGGTTACTTATTAGATCATGAATTTGCAGGCGTGGCAACTGTGGCAGGATGAAAGAGAGTTGGAGCTGGTGGATCCATTGATAATTGACTCGTGCTGTGTGGAAGAATTTAGGCGATATATGCAAATCGGACTGTTGTGTGTTCAAGAAGATGCATATGACAGGCCTACAATGTCATCCGTGGTTGTTATGATGAAAAGCGAGAGTACAACTCTTACAAATCCTCAACGACCGGCTTTCTCAGTGGGAAGGTTCACCGAATATCACCAACAAGTCATGGATAACAGCTCTTCTGTCAATGGCCTAACCATTTCGAATATTGATGCAAGATGATAGACCCAAGAAAGGAGATATCGGGACTTTGCGAGTTTACACATATCGATTGGTCACTCGTGCATTTAGAAATTTTTTACAATAGTCTGTTCATTTAGTATATAACAAGTTTAAGTGTTCATTTAGCATGGCGAAAAGTCCTTCTGTGTATATTTAACTGAGGCAAATTTGTATGCCGTGTAGATTTTGCGTAATTGTCAAATTGCACTGATGACAACTGCATTTTGTTGAAGTAGAATACCATCAGCTTCTGCAGATTTGAACATATTGGTATTGAGCTGATCAATTGCAGGCGCTGCGCAACAGATAGTACATAACCAAAGGAGTGTTTCTGGCCTATGACCAATAGTTCAGACCCTACGATTTAACTCTTCCACACTTCCAAGGTTTTACAGAAAACTTCTGGTGACTTGACTTTGGCTATATAGTTCTTCTTTAGCTTCTTTGAACAAGCAATGTAATTAATCCAAGAAAAACCCCAGTATTTTCATTAAAAAACCATTACATTTGGCCAAGAAAAAATTTCAAAGAGAAAGTTCGTTAGTATGGTTGTTACTTCCGAAGTGAATACCAGCAGAACTGCAAGTAGACAACTTCCCCATTCACTTTTTTAGTATCTCATGCACATAGAAATGACGGACCGTCTAGCATCTGTCATCTGTAACTGGGTGCAAAAGGGTTTGACCGAGAAAAGACAACGGACATAAAAGATTAAAGATTTGTTAAGGTTCAGAGTCAATGAAGTTCTTCTTATAGCGAATTCACCAATAATTTAAACAAAATGTGAGTCGCTGGCTCATTAATAACGAATGATGCAGACAGAATCTTACTGCTACTTGCAGAATAATGCCATTTAACAGCTTTCTCCGAAACCCGACTAACCAATAAATGTATAATTTATTATCTGTCTATAGTCTTAATAAAAGAGAGAGTAAGCTAGAATAAAATAATTTCTTGAATGTGATTTTCTTTTTATGAAGTTGAAAGGGACATTTGGATATGATCTTATCTTGTGACCTGTCATCACAAGCACACTAACGACAGGAATAAACAGTCTTGTTCTTTCTTGGATTTAGTATTAAAAAGTGTTTCTAATTTTTTTGACTTTCAAATAGTTTGGTCAAACAAAAAAACAAATTTGGCCATTTATTTTCTCAAGAAATTCATTGTTTCTCAAGTAACCCATTTTTTTTTCTCAAGAATTCATGGTCAAACAAAGAAGCTTTACTTTTCTTGCTGGATGATTGTTCTCTGTGCTTCTGAGCATAGCCCTTGAGAGATTCAAAGAACAAATTAAATTTTAAAAAAACTACTTTTTTCCACCAAGCAGACCCCCGGAATGATTCAACTGTTTGATGGAATGCGAACCAGAAACAGTTTCCTGGGCTATTCAAGCTCTTTGTCCTTATAACAACAATTTCACTTCTCTTTCGTTTGTCATAATCAATTATGAACTAGTCTCGTGTGGATCTTTAACTTCTACGGCACAAGTAGCATCTCATTTTCCATTCAAAGGCTTGACTTTTCAGGTTCTCCGAAGTTTGGTGGCCACGTAAGTTCTTGCCAGTCTCCATCGGCATACAGCATATATGACTTTTCTAGCATTTTCCTGAGACTATCCAGGTTCATTACGATGTTTCTTGTCTGGGTTCATTTGTTCTCTAGTCTTTATGCAATGCCAATATCTGCGATAAATGTTTAAATCGCTTTCCAGAAACTTGTGTTCATTCCTCGTGACTTCGGTGCTTTATACGACGAATTATCTGGGTGAATGTTAAGATTCGACGTGCCAGAAGTAGAAAATGGAGAGGGGTGGGGTCCACATTTTTATTTCCAGTTCTCATTCATATTACTGTCAATGCTTGGCCTTCACAAGATTGTCGAAGCAGATTATCTTACATATTCTTGTCAGAATGAGTATGGAAATCACTCGACCAACAGTACTTTCGAATCAAACCTGAAGCTCCTTCTTGATTCCCTGCCGTACAACACCGCAACAATGGGATTCAACAATACTACCGTCGGAGAAGGCCCTAACCGAGTTTATGGGCAAGCTCTTTGCAGAGGAGATGCCACTTCCACAGCGTGTGAGAGTTGTGTCAGCAATGCAAGCCAAGAGATCATGAAGCTGTGCAATGCTAAAGATGCAATAATTTCGTATGAATTATGCCAAGTGCGCTATTCCTTCCAAGATTTCTTTTCAAACATGGTTTATACTGGTAAATACCCGGATTCAAATAGTCAGGAGAAACTTGCATCAGACCCAGCCCGTTTCTATAAGTACTTGATGTATCTAATGAACAATATATCCAATGAGGCTGCGTATGTTAAATCTACTCAAATGTTCGTGATGGGGCAAATAAATTACTCTGTGAGCCAGACAATATACGGGCTAGTGCAGTGTACTAGGGATATGTCGGACATGGACTGTAACAGTTGCTTGAACTCTGCCTTGGGGGATCTAAAAGCATGCTGCTATACAAGGGAAGGTGGAACGGTTGTTAGCAGAACTTGCAATGTGAGGTACGAGCTGTACCGCTTTTTCAATGGCTCGACAACTTCTATGTTATCTTACCCAGCCTCCACAGGTAAGAACATGAAATCTATCGAAAATTAAGATTAGTAGGAGAAGAAAGCTATAGTTATCGCCACTAACTTAACTTCTATGCTATATATGGTTAGAACAAAATCGAAAAAGTTCATCAGCATGATGGTTGGTTTTGACTTTGAATGCTGTTGTTCTCTTTTAAAGTGACGGGAGATTTCTACATGGATCCAAGATCCTAGAAAATTGTTTATACCATTATTTCATTTCATTCCCCTGCGAAGAGGCCAATTTTTAGCAACTCATTATCCTTGTCTGGCTCTGTTTTCACAGAATTCTGTTAGTAGCCTTGGTTGCTTTCATTCAATGAGCACGGTCTCTAGTGAAACTTATATCATAGAGAATCTGAAGAGACTTAGCTTATATAGCCTTCATAATGGCAATAGCCAAATATGCAGAAAAATTACTGAGGCAATCAGCACAAGCTGAAAAATTCTAATTAGCCTCTTTATTATTGTGGGATGCACTTCACAATTAGTATACACATTACATCTCTCTCCATAGGCTATTGATACTCCAGGATGTTATCCATATACTACGATGTTTATTCAACTAACGAGAAAAACAGGGGATAAATGGAAGAAAGGGATGATTGGCCTAGTAGTTGGTATCTTGGGACTCCTATTAGCTGTTCTTGCCGGATCTTGCGCCGTCTACTTCAACCGGAAGAAAGCAAAACAAGGTATATATGAGAAAATGGACGTTTTAATTCACATTTTTACAAGAGCTAATCCACACTCGGGTACCTTCAGACCTGGAAAGAAGCCCGCGTGCTTTGCTCCATGATTTAATAAATCCAGTCGGAGTGGAAATTACTGAAGATGGCAACCTGGTTAGCTCTGAAGAACTTCCTTTCATGGATCTAGCCACACTAAAGGCTTCTACAGATGACTTCTCAAGTTCAAACAAGCTCGGGCAAGGGGGGTTCGGTACTGTCTACAAGGTAATATATCTGTTGCTGTCAGTTTGCGATTGTTTGCTGTTGAACTCCAGTAGGTGGAGGGCTTAACCGAATTAGCTTTCAGGGTGTGCTTTCTGATGGAAAAGAAGTAGCAGTTAAAAGGTTGTCGAGGAAGTCTTGGCAAGGTCTCGAGGAGTTCAAGAATGAGGTGATCTTGATTGCAAAACTCCAGCACAGAAATCTAGTAAGGCTTCTAGGATGCGGCATAGAGGGAGATGAGAAGCTGCTTGTATACGAGTTCATGCCTAACAAAAGCCTCGATATCTACATCTTCGGTTCATTTTCTCGTGTCCTTCAACTTTTAGAAAGAACTCATTTACTTAGAATTTGTGCATATTGTAAATTGTCCTCATTGCAAACGTTTTTGCATGATGCCCTTATCTTCAGATTCAGACAAACGTGCGCAGCTTGATTGGTGCACATGCATTTCTATTATTAATGGAATTGCTAGAGGACTAGTTTACCTGCACGAGGACTCGAGACTTAGGATTATTCACAGGGATCTTAAGCCTAGCAATGTTCTGCTGGATCATGAAATGGTTGCTAAGATATCAGATTTTGGGATGGCCAGAATATTTTGCGAAAACCAAAGTTCAGCTAATACAAGAAGAGTCGTAGGAACATAGTGAGTCTGCTTCTTCTGATTTTGTTCAGCTGAAAACTCTAGGAGTTTCTTGTTCTTGCCATGGAAAACACCCTATTTGGTTCGTCATTAAGAAGGTACTAAGTAGGAAAGACTAATGCCAACTTTGATACTTGTGACAGCGGTTATATGGCCCCAGAGTATGCAATGGGGGGACTATTCTCTGTGAAGTCAGATGTGTTCAGCTTTGGCGTCATTTTGCTTGAGATCATCTGTGGAAAACGAAATAGCGGATTTTATCTTACAGAACATGCTCAGACACTTCTAGCATATGTATATTCTACGTTTCACGGGAATCAAAGTCTTGCCTTTTAATCATGTTTTGAGCTGAAAATACTCACTGTCTGCCAATCATTCATTTTACACCAAAATCAATTTAATCTTGCAGGCATGGACACTATGGACTGAAGGAAGAGAGTTGGAACTCGTGGATCCTTCTCTAGCAGAATCAGGCTCAATAGCTGAAATAGCCAGGTGTATTCACATCGGCCTCTTGTGTGTCCAGGAAGATCCTGGAGATAGACCGACAATGTCGGAAGTAGTGACGCTTTTGGGAGGTCAAACAGGAACTCTTCCGGAACCAAAAAAGCCTGCTTTTTCGGTTGGTAGAGTCGTTCAAGAACTCGATCAATCATCGGCAACAAATATTTCTGTCAATCAGAAGACTGTTTCTAGTATCTCGCCCAGGTGAACCATCACGTATATTAGTTGAGTAAGGTTTCATTTGCCCACGGTTGTAAAATTCTACGCTGATTAGAGGAACTCATCATGTTTTGGAAGAATTATTCTGCTCATGAAAATTGCTGTATATACAATCGATGTTATTGCACATGGAGAACGCCGATTTGTTGAGTGTAAAAAAATTGCACAAATTGTGGAGACCCATGTAACTATAGGTGGATCAATGCAAATTCTGTAAACCAGAAGCTCCATCTATTTTCTTGAACTGAAGCAGTGTCAATGCAGTTTGGCTTTTCTCGAATAGAACTCCAGTTCTTTCCAGGTTTTGGATAATGATAATGGCTAGTACAGCATCGGACTTATGGAGATTAGTGCAGGAGGGAAAAATCCGTTCCCTTACCAATGGTCAATTTGCAAATGAATCCTTTTCTTTTTTTTGTTCTTTTCTTTTTATGGCCTTTTTCTGCCCGATTTGATTAATCATAAGATAAAGATAAACCAGCAAGATCGCAAATTGCCATGTCATTGACAGTCCCAACTTGAGGGATTCTCGACTTGGCATCAGGAGGTTATGCCAAACTGTATTCGAATTCGAGACATCTTGCTTCTCAAATCGCTAGGTCCGGATTGCCATGTCTGAATTACATCACTTTCGCCAATTAGCTCAACTAGTTCCTTGGATTGAGTTGCCATTGAAAATTCCCTCAACTAATGCAGTTTGTCCTTGACAGAACGTTCTATTAGTAGACTAAAAAGATGAAGACGGGTCTGATATTGACGGTATAGAAAGGAAATTTCCTTGGGGGGCTACTTCCTAATAATTTACATATGCGACTTGACTTTCAATTCCTAAAACTATCCTTCATTGATAGGGTTTAATATTATGGAAAACCCCAAATTGGTGCATATGTGACAAATTTACTCAAAACTAATTTTTTGATCACCAAAATCCCCAAATAGGTACACTTGTGATAAATTTACGTCAAACTAATATTTTGACCACCAAGAACCTAAAATTGGTACATTTGTGACAAATTTACCCTTTATCAGTTTCCGTTAAATTGGATTCATACTATGAAAAATCACAACTCGGTGCACCTATGACAAACGGAGGGTAAAATCCCAAATTGGTATACCCGTCAACTGTGACATGTCATCTAATTCAACAATTTGATAGTAAAATTTAACGAGAATTAATAGAGGATAAATTTGTTATAGATGTACTAGTTTGAGGTTTTTGGTGGTCAAAAAATTAGTTTGTGATGAATTTATCGCATGTGTACCAGTTTGGGATTTTTCGTGGGATTACCACTTATTTATACCCCTCTACTTTTGTGTTCTCTTAAATCTTCCCATGTGGCGATTTTCTGATCCCAATTAGCCACCAGATCATGCGATGAAGGGTCACCCATGAAAGCCAAAGCCCAGCATCAATCCCATGCAAACTGTTTTGGAGCCCGTCTCTCCAATTCCCGTGGTTGCTATTTTTAACATACATAGACATGGAAACCACGTCATTTAGGAAAGGGTTGGATTTGCTGATTTCAGTAGACCCATTTCATTGGTCAGAGTCAAAGTCACTCGACCAATAGGATGCTTAGATGCATTTCCGTTCCAATCCCGCTGAAGACTAGAATGGAAGTCTTGGTCTTCTATCAGTCTTCACTGTAAAATAGTTGCGTTGACCCGATTTGCTGTTCCTTGTGGGGAGGGGTATCGAATCTGTACTTGTGCACCTAATCTCTACACAAATCCGTTTCGTAACCACTATTTTGTGGGGAGGGTTTGTTTCATTTCTTACAAATGCCAGTCTCAGATACCAAATAAATCATGAAGCGTGAAGGATGTGCTTTCTTCCGGAATCCTGCTGTTGGCTTGCATCAGTGACTCTGTGGAGAGGTGATTACTCAGAATTGGAGTGCACTCAAGACATGATCACCTTGTTTCGTTCTCTCGGGTGGCTTCAACAACCATCCTACTGCTCTTTTTTCATTGTCTTCTTCATGGATTTCGCAACCCGGTTCTGGTCGATATCCCCAAAAACCTCTGCCCCAACAACAGTTCATATGCCACAAACAGTGCATATCAAGACAACCGTTGTTGCGGAAGCCAAGCGATCGACCAATAAATTTGACGGAATAAGAAAATAAATTAGACATCAGATTTACGTGGTTTGGTCTTACTGACCTACGTCCACGAGGAGAGCAGCACGGAATTCCACTATAGATCAAGCGATACAACGGAAATTACAACCACACTCGAGTCATTCAAACACTCTAAGTATTTTTCAAGCCCCAACTACACCCAATAACTCACGTAATGTTTAGCCCCACAATTTTTCACGAAATAATATCTCAATCTCATGAATGAATTAATACAAATTCTTTCCACAAGAGTTTAATCGGCTTCAACGCTAACTTCATGGATATAATTCACGAATTCCCTCTGCACGTCTTCGCACACCAAGCACTCGCAAGCCAACAGCGCTTCAAGAAGTCTTCTTCATCAACAATAGCGCACAAAGACTTCTTTTGCTTCCGGTCAAGATCAAGAATATATAGTATATTTCCATAAGATTCGGTGGCCGACTTCAACGTGGAGATGCAAATCGCGTGTAATTCGGATCACAAGTCCAAGATTTGGACTTTCCCTTCGGATAATCTTTGGCCATAGAACTCACAGTCAAAGACTGACAATTGCCCTTTTGTTTTGCGCGGCCAACTCCAGAGGATAATGTGCATGGCTATCAAAACAGATTTTATTTCTTTCTTTTTTCTGAATTGCATGGAATCTTTATCCTACTTGAACTTTGACACTCAATAAGAAATATACATTCGGACGTCCGTAAAATACCCAATTCGAAATATTTAGACTTCCACAAATAATAATTAATCTCAAGTTGGGTTTCGTTTATCGGGCTCAAACTCGAGATATATTTTAATAATCTCCACCTTGGCTCGACGTTTGAGCCAAGTCACAATCGCTTTGATAGAATCCTAATTTCGCTGCTACTCTCTCATAGCTCCCGATGGGCTCAACCGCCATAGATGTCTTTCAAGTCCAAACCTCGCTTGAATTTTGCCATAGTCGTGGATCTCATCAGAACACCAACTCCACGTGCACCTTTAATTGTTCCACAAGGATTTTCTGATACAAACTCCTCAATCACAGATAAAGCAAAATCATCATCGCATCCATATCTATTAAGAGATCGAATACGCACCTTGTTAATTTCAGCAGTTACAATAACTGTTGGCTCTATAGGCTCCACCTCGCTAAGCAGGAGGAAACCAGCAACAAAAGAAGAATTTTTGTCTTTTCTCTGCAGATTTCAGCACCAGGTTTTGATTTTGGTGGCCCACTGCTGCAGCAAATTGTTCCTGCCATCAACCTTTCGCTGCTTTGGTGACACCGAGACCACCATCGATCGAGCGGAGCTCTGGCTACGCCAATTCAGTCCCGATGCCGCCGTTTGTTATCCTATTCTCTGCCGCACTGGAGTTTTCTTTTGCAGGTTTTCTGTTGGCCTTCAAGCAATGCCCAACAACCTCACATTGCATTTAAGCAACTTGCGTTTCTATTCCTCAATCGGTGACAAGCTCCGGTTAAGCCCCGACATGCTCAACGCTCCTAGCCGCGAGCCGCCGTCCACACCGAAGCAACGTCGCCGCCACTGGTCCGCCGCCGGCCACCGTCCCCATCCGTAATCCCGAGTCCAATCCGAGTTTGAATTGGAAATATCCGCAAATTAGGTGAGACTATTATCCGAATATTTCTTTTAAATATTTAATTTCCTAATTTTCGGGTGTTTTAATATATTGCGAATATTCTGGATCATTAGATATCTTAGGATAATGCTTGCGATATCCGCTGTATTCTAAGACACCCCGAATTAGGACTTTTTTTTTCGTAATTCAGCAACGTATCTGGACGATTATCTGACCTTAGCCCTAAGGTACGATACACGGCGGTACGGAAAAATTGTTATCTTATCCATAACCACTTGGATACGATAATGGATCTTATCTGCTTTCCAAATTCAAACAATCGACTTTCCGTCGATATCTATAACTCTATAGATATGACCGTTAGTTCGATTCCCTTTCCTAATTTGAACATGATAAGAAAGATCTTGCGGATCGCGTGGATGGTTGGTCTTAAATTGTTATCTTGTGTGTGATTTATTTTCCTTTTAAATAAAGAAAATCCAAAAATATTTTAGTTAGGAATTAAATTAGGAATTTTGCATAGGGAATCTTAAATGTATCTAAAAGATAGAATAATTATCTGATTTAAATTGGGATTTAGGGTAGTTTATTTCCTAGTTTAAATTAGGGATTGTTCTAGTCATAATATATTATTTAGGATATTTAATTATTTCGAATTTTCATAAAAATACCCAAAAAGAGTCACTTTAGGATAGATTAAGTCATTTTTCACTAGGATAGATTGCATGTTAATTTGAGTAATATTTAATTTCGAATTTTAATAAAAAAATACCAAAAAAGAAGTTGTTCTAGAATAAATAAAGCTGCTTGTTTAAAGGTAGATCGCATGTTAATTTAGGCATTTTATTTATTCCGAATTTCATTGGAAAAATACCAAAAATAAATCATTTGCCCGTCATTAGAAATAGGTCATATTGCCGCATGACATATAGTCCGTATGTTAGGATTCATTAATCGCATGTCATGGCACGTAGGTTAGTTTTGATCTTAATAAAGAGAAAACCCTAAAGAACATATTGTGTGGATTACTTTGTTAATTAGAAATCATGTTAAGACTGTCTGTATGATTTTCTAACTAACAATGCAGATGCTTTCGTTGCTCTAAGGTATGTTATTATCCTAATCTAGCAATTTATTTACCGCTGTTTTTATTGGGTGTTAAATTGGTGGATTGCGCAGTCGCATGATCACCCCACATGTTAGTATCTAGGTAATAAAATGGATCTAGCTGCTTACTCAAACATTTTTTTGAAAGAAAAAGTATCGATAGAGCGTTAGACTAGATCTAGCGTAATCAAATCCCCAAGCTTAGAATCTCGAGTTTGTGGAAATAAAATATATCTCCCTATATTTTATTTAGGCTTCTAATTGACCTACCGCAAATAGATTAGTCGCGATTCCAAAATGAAAATCATTTGTATGTTAACAACTTGAACCTTAAGTTGCGAATTGGTAGGGTTTGAGAGGGCCGAGGTTTAAACTTAATAATTCATTAACCAAACCCCTAGTAGTGTACCAGCGCAGGTGAGGTCGCGATAGTAACTGTAAGTAGATCAGACAGAAGTAAAGAATAAGGCCAAAAACAGGGGTCGATGCACACGAAATTTCTGAGCATTTCATTTGACTCTCCTTCAAGTGGAACGAAGTCAAGCGAGTTAAAAAGTCTTAAATTCCAGCCATCATCTCGGAAAAAGCATCACCACTGAAATACCACTTTAAAGAAACATCGCCTTTTCAATGGCTTCCCACGCCGTCTTCGCCAAACCCAGATCCGTGGACTCACAAAAGCCATAAAACATTGATGGGTCTCTGTATAATCCTAAGTTTTCTAAGTAATTTGATTTTGACGTGCATTAAGATGAATTTGGATTATGTTCTTTCACGTTGGAGTGGAAAGCTGAAATAAAAATGAACCAAATAAATGAAAGGTCTCATCCTGTTGGTCTGATTCCCTTTCTAGAAAATGAAATATTCTTGGGTCTCCTAAACCCATCATCTCACGTCAACTTCAAGATGCTACAGTGAAGTTTCTCTTCGCTTTCACGCAAGAAAAAATAGAACAAAGAACTTTCTCTTTTGCTGCAATTTAACAATTCCACTCTTGACCAGAACTCGAAGATTCTCCACCCACTTTCACTATGTTGAATTGTCTCCATGCGATGGACCTTTCAACTCTTAGAGAAAGTTTCTTCCCTCGCCGTTTATGGAAATCATTCCCAGTTAGTGCCTCTTCACTGGTCTAGAATACAGTTTCGACCCTGAAAGATGGCAAGAGATTCGAATCTTGTCACCTTTTTCGTATTCGTAGCATCAATTTTGTTTCTCGTCATACCCATTAATGGAAACAATCTTCTGTATGTGCTTTGCCAACCTGAGAAAGGCAATTACACTTTTGGCAGTCCATTCAGGAACAACCTTGAACAGCTTCTGGGCACTTTGGCTTCTAGCACTGCAAAGACAGGCTTCAGCAACAGTTCTGCTGGGGATGGCACTGATCAAGTATTTGGCCAAGCACTTTGCAGGCATGATGTGAATAGGAGTGTTTGTGGGGATTGCATCAGGACTGCAAGTCAAGAGATCATGAGCCGGTGCAACAAGAGAGATGCTGATATTTGGTATGATTATTGCCAAATATCTTATTCATATAATGATTTTTTCTCCGCGATGACTTACCAAGGAAAGTACCCAGATTGTATTAAGCAGAAGAACGTATCGAATCCGGACGAGATGAGCACTGCCCTGAAAAAGTTTATGGATGGTCTCAAAAGTAAGGCTACATCCGCTTCATCGATGTTTGCGGCGGGCAGTTCGAAATTCTCGAGCCAAGAACATGTCTATGGCCTCGTGCAGTGTACAAGAGAAATCACTTGGGATGATTGTAATACCTGTTTGGTGGGGGCCTTGGGGGATCTGACATCATTTTGCTCCCGTCATCAAGGTGGAATCGTTGTCAGCAGATATTGCAACGTGAGGTTCGAGCTTTACCGCTTCTATAATCTGCATTCTAAAGGTAATTAATTTGGATTCTTTGCTTAGACTCTGTTGTTGGTCACGGAGTATTGATGCCCGTAGAAATTAGAAATGAGACCTGGGAAACTGCCGTAAAGAGTATTTTGTGTGATCTTCCCAGTTTGAGAGTTCTATGGAAACAGCCAGAGGAAGAATTGCACAAATCATAGTATCAAAGTCAAATTAGAAGTTTTCAACTCTAAGTAATAACTTTTCAGATGAAAGTTCTCGTATTGAGTTTTATCCTTATAAAGGATGTATTAGAATTCATCTACTCATAGTAGATTAAGTACAAAATATGCAAGATATATATTTTTCCACGCAGAAAATTTTTACAACAGATTTCCTTATGAAAACAGAGGGATTGGATCGACCTGATGATAGACCAGTTGTCGTAAAGCATTTCATTGACCTGATTGGATTCCAAAACATTTGGTTATTCTTTATTAGTCGGCTTGATGAGCAGTCTTGTTGGACATCTTGATTCTTGAGCCGATCCTAGCTGTTTTTATTATTTTCGCAGCCAGTAAAATTGCCTGGCTGACTACTTGAGTTCTCTCAGCGGGAGTTGAAAATTGGATTTTGAACATTTGTTTATTATTTGATTGTTACATTGTAGGTTTGGATAAGGCAAAGATGGTTTTGTTGGTATTAGGTATTCTGGTAGGGGCATTGCTACTTTCCCTTGGGGTTTGTGTTGCCTTTCGAAGACAGAAAAAGACAACGACCAGAGGTATATTACACAAGTTAGTTTCAGTCACCAACTGATATCTCGGACACTGTTTAATCACAAGAATTCGGATCTTTTTTTTCTTTTTGGGTTTCCCAGATGAAGAGAAAGACGAGAATGTATTGCGACATGAATTGGCGAAGCCCATTGAGCTATCGATTCCAAAAGGGGATCTAGAATTTTCTGATGATATGCTTGTCATGAATTTGGCAACTCTGATGGCTGCCACAGTTAACTTTTGCCTTACAAACAAACTCGGACAAGGCGGATTCGGCATTGTTTACAAGGTTAAACATTAGATGCGATCATATTCAATTTGGTGGGAGAGTTACCCTGAAAAACATAACTGATGACTATTGTTTAAGTTGTTCCAGGGAATTCTACCAGATGGAAACGAAATAGCAGTAAAGAGGCTGTCGAGGAAGTCATGGCAGGGTGTAGAAGAGTTTAAAAATGAAATCAAGCTGATTGCAAAACTCAAACACAAAAATCTCGTGAGGCTTTTGGGGTGGGGCATAGATGGACATGAGAAGCTACTCATATATGAATACATGGCCAACAAAAGCCTCGATGTCTTCCTCTCTGGTTAGTCCTCGTACAGTCTGTTTTCTCTCACAAGTGGACCACACTCCTATTATCTTTACACATTCAATGAAAATTGTGTCACCTACTGCTTTTCAGACCCGATGAAGAGATCACAACTTGATTGGAGAGCACGCTACAACATAATTCATGGGATTGCCAGAGGACTGCTTTATCTTCATGAGGATTCCGTGCCGAAGATCATCCATAGAGATCTAAAGCCAAGCAACGTGTTGCTGGACATCGACATGGTTGCCAAGATATCGGATTTCGGCATGGCAAGGATTTTCTCAGAGAAGCAGAATGTAGCAAACACCAGAAGAGTTGTCGGGACTTTGTAAGCTATGCCTCCCCTGCCTTGTGCAATTTCTGATCTTTCTCCATTCAGTTATTGTCGTTTGCATTACGGTCGAGTTTTCTTTTCCTTTTAGTTTTTGTTACTGAAAATATTTTGAGAATAGTTTTCTGAATTCAATTTTCAAAAAGAGGTATGCGGGATCTTCAGTCTGCCTAACTGGGGTCTATATATCTCATTTTCATTTAGCTCGGAAATCAGTATAGCACGAGAAGAACTTTGTAAAATATCACTTGCCTTCCCATTTTGATTAAAAGGACACTAGAAAAGCGCCTCTTGTTAATTTTTTTTAATCCAGAGTGTGGTTTGTATTCTAAAAAATTAAACTTGTCTGAAATTCACTTAAAATTTGCTCTTGCCTGTGCACAAAAGAAAATCACTTGTCTGAAATTCCATGAAACTTGTTTTTGCCTGTGCACGAAACAGCGGTTACATGGCCCCCGAATATGCAATGGAGGGACAATTCTCTGCGAAGTCTGATGTGTTCAGCTTTGGAGTCATCCTGCTCGAAATCATCAGTGGGAAGAAAAATAGTGGTTTCCACCTCACCAAACGCGCAACATCGCTGCTAAAATATGTAACGCTCTTTCTCCTAGCATGCTTGCATCTCATTTGGAGATCTGAATCTTGTGTTTATGGGCGTGTATGGACCAAGGGTTTTGAATTCACTTAGATGAAATATCTCGGTGACACACATAAACTATGCGCAGTCATGGATTTTGTGGAACGAAGGGAAAGAGCTTGAATTCGTGGACCCTTTCCTGCTGAAATCGTTCGCACCAGCTGATGTGCGCAGAACCGTTCAAATAGGGCTTTTATGCGTGCAAGAAGATCCAGCGGACCGACCTCTCATGACGGATGTGGTGGTTCTTCTTAGAAGTGGACCGTCCGTGCTCTCTCAGCCAAAACAACCTGCATTTTCAGTCGGGCGAGACATCGCCTTGGATATGCTTTCAATGCCAGAAAGTTCTTGTACCAACGATCTTACTGCTTCTACAATGTTGCCACGGTGAATAGTGGCTATCAACATCGAAACATTTGACAGCGACACGACTCTCGGGTTCAAGGTGTAACATGTACTGCTGGTTCAAGCAGAAATTAAAATTCATGATCTGTCTTAGCTGTCTGATAATAGGTAAACTGAGCATACGTAGGTTGTAAAGAAACCATGTAAATGACAGATGCGGTCTTTGTGAATTTCCTGTACATGTACATCTCTACCTCTTCTTTCATCGAATAGATTAGATCTCAGAAAGAATGATGATGATGGTCGTAACTAGATGAACAGCTACCTTCATGTGTATAGGCTTGGTCGTAAGGTGAGCTTTTGTATTTGAAGGCACTTTTACTTTTTAAATGTTTTATTGTTTTTCCAATATTACGACAAACACATATTTTTGAGGTTTTTTTTATTAATTTTAAGCATATGAAATTTTCATAATATATAGGTGTTAAGGACTACATTCGTATACAAATTTTTTTATGAAGTTTTATGAAATTTGCACAAATATTTAAAATATGAACCGAAAAGTATTTTCTTTTTTCGTTTTCTTTTTTCTTTTGAGAGGTCGAGAGAGACGGGTTGTGACACTCGAGATTTAATTTTTGCTGAACATAATCTCTTGGTTAAACCAGTCACAAGCAACCTAAATGACTTGCATGATCAAATTCTTGTAAAGTCTCGCGAAATCTTGATATACTATTGATTTTATCCGGCTTGTTAATTTTCCCCCTTCCTGCAATAATAATTGCATCATGTCTATATAGTTGATTTGCGCGTTGACTTGTGGTCCATGCATGGACAAAGTTCTTTATCTGATACTACCCTATATAAAATATCTTCTGAACGTCTCTTCTTCGCCATCCAATCATCAAAACGTGAATTCTTGCTTCATTCTTTGCCTCTCTCTCGTCTAATTCTTCTTCTTCTTCTTCAAATTTCTCAGCATTATACTCACACTACTGAAGCTGCACCTAGCTCCACCTACGATACAAATCTCAAAACACTCGTCTCTTCCCTCTCCTCTGCCGCTGCCGCCGATGCCGACGGCTTCGTTAAAGTCACCGCCAGCAAAAGCCCTCTTGATCTCACCTATGGGCTATTCCTCTGCTGTGGCGACGGCCATGCTGCCACTTGCAACGATTGCGTGGCTAACGTGAGCAAGGAAAAACTCGTGCATGCCCTAATGAGAAGGATACCATCACTTTGCATGACGAGTGCATGTTGCATTACTCGAACCAATCAATTTTCTATGTCAAGCAAGGAAATTGAGTAGCTTCACCCAGTTGCTGAAGGATACGACCGATTAATTGGCCGAGATGGTGGCGAGGGATGGGTCTGGCAAGAGGAGATCGCGACGAGGCAAGAGGGAGAGTCTTGGCCCCGAGCTGCAATGTTAGGTTTGCGTTTTAGAAGTTCTATAATGGACTGTCTTCTACAAAGCACGGGCACCAGCAGTGTGAGCACTGACGTTGAAACTTGGCAGCTCCTCTAAACTACCATATATCAAATCAAATACTAAGTTAGTTACACTTGGAGATGCATGTTCTAACAAACTCTCTAGTAATAACTCTGTCATCAATTTCGAAGTGAAATATAATTGCACGCAGCAAATTTGAAGCTGGCTTTCTCAAAAAAAGTGGGACTCCACCGAAATTTGAGATTCTCTCTAATGAAGTGCTAGAGAACAAAACGCACTGAATTCCTTATAAAATCTCTGCATTATCAAAGCCAATAATAGAGCAATCATTTCATACCACAATCGTGGCAAGAGAATGGACCATAAGGTGCACTTTAATTAATACATCGATTCGGACTCCTCAACCTCTAGGGTCAAAGTTCCCTTCCGCGACTCTTTGACATACTCAACATCATCTTCCAACGCTAGTTTCCCTTGTTGAACTAATGAGTCCTAAAGCCTTCCATAACCAAGGCATATGAGAGCCAGCGATTACATATCCATCGGGAAAAAGTGAATGTGAATGTGGCATAAAAACATTTTCAATTGGGAATGGCAGATAGCCATAACTAAGCTTAAGTATCAGCAGAATGTCCATTCACAAGGAGAGGAACTCCTTGTGATTTTTTGATAATGTCGTTTCCAATCTCAAGGAGATCCAGACGTTGTTGCTTTTCCTTTTTGTCGAATAACCATTTTTTAAACAAGGCCATAGAGTCTTCATGAGAAAAACCTTTTAGATTATGCATCGGATGAAAATTCGGTATAGAAATGTGTGAATTTGGAATTAACTCAGAAGAGGCGCAGTTTGATTGAATCATGGTCTAGATTCCGAAATCCAATGTTAAATGTGTCTAATTGGGACCCTATCAACATGGGTGGCCTCCTAGAGACAAAACCGTGGTGTCGGAATATAATGGATTAAAGTGGGTAATACCTCGAGTGAATTGGGCTAAAGAGTTACACGACCAAGAAAAAAAATCAATTTGATTTTCTTCCCCAAATAAAAAAGAGAAACTCAAGCGAAACGTTTCGGATGGGTCCAATCCTTACTTAGGCCTTGTTGCATAAACTCGTATGGATCAAATTTAATCTATCAAAAGAATTACTCCGTTGCTGTAATTTGATGGAAAATTCAAGGCTCTAAGCGTCACCAAAATCACTTTCATCCCCATCTCCTCTCTCTCTCTCTCTCTCTTTACAACTACATCACTGGGATACATATCTTGACTTTTCTTCTTCTTCTTCTTCTTCCAGTCTCCCCGTTGAAACCAAAGAAAAACGCAACTCACGCAATTGACTTTTCAATGAACTCAGACGGGCTAACGCTTCTTCCATCCTCACCGTCCATCTTATTCGCAAGTCGCTTGAATATCGATGGCGTTACTAATCCAACTCCTGTCGCTTTAATACGTTACGGAATGGACCTCAATGTTTTTTACTTTAAGGATAATCTCACACTGGTTTGTCTTGACTTGTAAACATCTCTTCTGACCTTCCCGTAAGAACTTTCATGATTTAAACTATCATTGTTCACACGTTTTGTACCTTTTAAATATGTCAAATTTCATATTTTAAATGTTCATGTTAAAAACGTCTTGAGTTTGTAAAAGAAACCCGATTCAAGTAAATTTCCTAATTTGGGTAGGTTTTTTGGTTTGAGTAGATTTTCTGAAAGAAGTTTTATTATGTTGGATTCAATTATCATGTTCATATAGGTAATAGAATTCTACTCGATGGACACAAACTAGAACAAACAAGAAGCATGTTAGGATTTAATGTCTATGAGTTTTCTGTGTGAGTTCTTCGTAAGAGATTGTGAGATAACACTTGTAGGTTTTCTTTGATTGTAGTCAGTGGCTGGGAACAAATGAACATTTGAGCGATTGTAAACTTTGTACTCTCCAAATTTATAGTGGATTTCTTGGCAGCAAGCTTTCCCCATGAAGTAGGTACTTACACTCGAACCAAACCATGGAAATCTCTAGTGTCCTTATTGTTTCTTATTGATTTCTCTAGTAATTTTGCTCTCTTACGTTTGACTTAAATTACAAGATCGGTTAGCTTCTACATTATTTTTACTGCAATTGGCATCAAAGCTAAGACAAGGATTTTTAGATTTAATTTGGGGCTTTTACTTGTCTAATCATTGTGAAATGTTGTTGTAATTATTTCTGAAGCGAAAATAGAAATTGAGAACTTTAACTGCAAGAACAACTTTGGGTTGTGGAGCATTAAGATGCGTGTGCAATTAACAGCCCAAAGTTTAGCAACGGTGTTGGATGATTAAGATGAATTGTTAGAAATGATGAAAGAGGCTATAAGGTAGAGTTGATGGAGCAAATGAAGAGTATAATCTTGTTGAATCAATTGGGTGATGTGTTAGTACAAGCAATTGAGAAGAAGAATGTAGTAGCTTTGTGGGTAAAACTTTAGGCCCTTTATGTAACAAAGGGTTTAAATTATCATCTATACATGTTGAAAATAATGTTTTCAATTTTGATTTGCTAAAGGTACTTCCATCTGTGTCTACTTAGATAAGTTTAACAAACTCACAAGGATTTGAAGAATATTGACGAAGCCCTAATTGATGAAAAACAGGGCATGATGTCGTTGGCATTTCTACTAAAGTCATGGGAGCACTTTATAATTCGCTATTATAAGGTCATATTGTGATAACCTCAGAAGAGGTAAAATCCACCTTGCTCTATAAGAGTGGCTGAAGAAGTTGCGAGATCATAAACAAGCATATGATGTAGAACATGGACTAGTGATTCAAGGTAGAGATGAACATCGGGGTCCAGTACCCGAGGTAAAACTAGGCTAAAGTTGCGGCATAGAAAGTACAAGGTCGCGTGAAGTGCTTTGAATCATGAGAAGAGGAGTACAAGGAGAGATTGTACAAAGCTGCTAAATGGAGGTGGTAGGCAAAATGACACAAGCAATGTGGTGAATGTTGCCGAGGGGACCACTAGTGAGGCGAAAACTGTCTTGTGTGTGATTACTAGCTCGTTAGGAGACAAACAGGTGCTAGATTTTGGGTGTTCTTATCATATGACGCCTCATTAGAACTTCTTCATTACTTATCAGACTCAAAATGTCGATAGTCTTTTGATGATGAAAAATGCATCCTGCAAAGTTGTGGAGATAATAACAATTCAGGCTTGGATGCATGATGGGGTAGAGCACACATGAGAGACATGAGGCATATACTTGAGCTTAAGAACCTTATTTTTCTAGGGACACTCAATGGCATCTAATATAAGTACTATAGAAAGTGCAGTGCTGAAGATTTGTTAGTGTGCCGTGACAATGATGAAGGGAAATAAGGTGAGTTTTCTCTATCATTTACTAGGAAGAACCATGACAGGATTTGCTTCAATTTATCAGGTGAGTCAAACTCAAACTTGACTTAGTTATGGTATATGCGGTTGGGGCACATGAGTGAGGCAAGTATGACGATGCTGAGTGAGAGGGATTGTCGAAGGGTTAAAAGACAACGAAGCTAGACCTGTGTAAGCAAGACATCTTTCGGAAGCGATTGGGTCACAGTTCAACTATGCATTCGACAAACCAACCAGTTTATTACATTCATTTTACAAGAATCAAAGCTTGCCTTTTAATCGTGTTTTGAGCTGAAAATACTCGATGTCTGCCAATAATTTATTTTACACCAAAATGAATTTAATCTTGCAGGCGTGGACGCTATGGACTGAAGGAAGAGAGTTGGAACACGCGGTTCCTTCTCTAGCAGAATCAGGCTCAACAGCTGAAATAGTCAGGTGCATTCACATCGGCCACTTGTGTGTCCAGGAAGATCCTGGAGATAGATCGACAATGTCGGAAGTAGTGACGCTTTTGGGAGGTCAAACAGGAACTCTTCCGGAACCGAAAAAGCCAGATTTTTCAGTCAGTAGAGTCGTTCAAGAACTCGATTAATCATCAGCAACTAATATTTCTGTCAATTAGATGATTGTTTCTAGTATCTTGCCTAGGTGAACCAGCACGTAGATTAGTTGAGTAAGGTTTCATTAGCCCACGGTTGTAAAATTCTACGCTGGTTAGAGGAACTTGTCATGTTTTGGAAGAATTACTCCGCTCATGAAAATCGCTGTATAAACAATCGATATTATTGCACATGGAGAACGCCGACTTGTTGAGTATAAAGAAATTGCACAAATTGTGGAGACCCATGTATCCATAGGTGGATCAATGCAAATTCTGTAAACCAGAAGCTCCATATATTTTCTTGAACTGAAGCAGTGTCAATGCAATTTGGCTTTTCTCGAATAGAACTCCAGTTCTTTCCAAGTTTTGGATATTAATAATGGCTAATACAGCATCGGACTTATGGAGATAAGTGCAGGAGGGAAAAATCTGTTCCCTTACCAATGGTCAATTTGCAATTAAATCCTCTTTTTTTTGTTCTTTTTTTTATAGCCTTTTTCCGCCTGATTCGATTAATCATAAGATAGAGATAAATGAGCAAGATCGCAAATTGCCATGTCATCAACGGTCCCAAACTTACGGGATTCTCGACTTGGCATCAAGAGGTTATGCCAAACTGGATTCGAATTCGAGACATCTTGCTTCTCAAATCGCTAGGTCCGGATTGCCATATCTGAATTACATCACTTTCGCCAATTAGCTCAACTAGTTCCTTGGATTGAGTTGCCATTGAAAATTCCCCCAACTAATGCAGTTTGTCCTTGACAGAACGTTCTATTAGTAGACTAAAAGAGATGAAGACAGGTCTGATATTGACAGTATAGAAAGGAAATTTCCTTGGCGGGCTACTTCCTAACAATTTACATATGCGACTTGACTTTGAATTCCTAAAACTATCCTTCATTGACAGGGTTTAAAACTATGGAAAACCCTAAACTGATACATATATGACAGATTTACTCAAAACTAATTTTTTGACCATAAAAAACCCAAAACTGGTATACCTATAACAAATTTACCTCGAACTAATGTTTTAACCACCAAGAACCCAAAATTGATACATTTGTGATAATTTTACCCTTCGTCGGTTTCTGTTAAATTGGATTTATATCACGAAAAATCACAACTTGATACATTTGTGGCAAACGGAGGGGAAAACCCCAAATTGATACACTTGTCAACTATGACACGTCATTTAACTCAGCAATTTGACGGTAAAATTTAACAGGAATTAACGGAGGATAAATTTATCACGGATGTACTAGTTTGAGGTTTGTGATGGTCAAAAAGTTAGTTTTGGGTGAATATATCACGAGTGTCTGGGTTTGGAATTTTTCGTGGTACTAATCCTTATTTATACCCTCTACTTTTGTTTTCTCGAGTCTTTCCATGTGGCGATTTTCTAATCCCAATTAACCACCAGATCATGCAATAAAGGGTCACACATGAGAACCAAAGTCTAGCATCAATCCCATGCAAACTGTTTTGGAGCCCATCTCTCTAATTCCTGTGGTTGCTACTTTTAACATACATGGACACGGAAACCACGTCATATAGGAAAGGGTTGGATATGCTGATTTCAGTAGACCCATTTCATTGGTCAGAGTCAAAGTCACTCGACCAATAGGATGCTTAGATGCATTTCCGTTCCAATCCCGCTCACGACTAGAATGGAAGTCTTGGTCTTCTATCAGGCTTCATTGTAAAATACTTGCGTTGACCCGATTTGCTGTACTTTTGTGGGGAGGGTATCGAATCTGTACTTGTGCGCCTAATCTCTACACAAATCCGTTTCGTAACCACTATTTTGTGGGGTGGGTTTGTTTCATTTCTTACAAATGTCAGTCTCAGATACCAAATAAATAATGAAGCGTGAAGGATGTGCTTTCTTCCGGAATCCTGCTGATGGCTTTCATCAGTGACTCTGTGGAGAGGTGATTACTCAGAATTGGAGTGCACTAAAGAAATGATCACCTTGTTTCGTTCTCAGGTGGTCTCAAGAACCATCCTACAGCTCTTTTTTCATTGTCTTCTTCGTGGATTTCACAACCCGGTTCTGGCTGATATCCCCGAAAAGCACTGCCCCGACAACAGTTCAAATGCCACAAACAGTGCATATCGGGGCAACCTCCAGGAGCTCACTTCTTGGATGATCAAGAACGCTTCTTCCTCCAAGTTCTTCGAGGACTCGTCTGGGAACTCCCCAAATAAAGTTTATGGTCAATACATGTGCTTCAACTATGTCCCCAATTCAACATGCCAAAGTTGCATAGTCAAGGGATCAGAAGACATCCTGGAGCTTTGTCCAAACAAGATGGAAGCCGTCGTTTGGGAGGATTCTTGCCAGTTGCGTATATCCGACCAAAAATTTTTCGGCCGTCTGTTTGAAATATACAAACATCAGTTCAATCCGAAAAATATATCTGACCCTGGCAAGTTCGGGTCAGTGGTAGATGAAACTTTAAGTTTTCTTGCCCGGAAAGCAGTTCTTGAGTCTCCAGGGACTTACTATGCTACTAAGGAAAAGGAATTTGAATTGGGCACAAACCAGACTTTATATGCTCTTGTTCAGTGCACTCAGAACTTAACAGCAGATGATTGTCGCAAGTGCCTCCAAGAAGCAACAAGACATGTGAAAGATTGCTGCTATTTTTCGCTCGGAGCAAGAGTTCTAAGTCCGAGTTGCTACTTGCGATATGAGTTATATGATTTCTATGGAACAAACGAGCCGGTGAAGAAGTCTGGTAAGGTTATGCCAAAAATTTTTACCTGTAATTGTTCTTCTCCTCACGAAGTCTGTAGTTGTTAATATTAGAACTGATTGAATCTGTGAAGAGGCTGCAACTATTTCTTGTCAAAAGCAGGGAAAAAGTGGCTGATCAAAGTTCTCACAATTTCATTGCTCTGCTTGGCGGCAATCAGTTTGTGCTCCTGGATTTTCTTCATCGTCATCAAAAGTAACAATCTTTATCCTAATGGTGATTTATGTGCCCTCCCCAAATTCCAATATATTTGAGACTCATCATGTTTGATTCCAGGGAAGAAAGACCTCGCAGATAAACAGGATCAACCTCTGGTTACTGGTGATTCTGCTCATGGTATTCTTCTATTGCGATACATCCCAGGAAATACTCTGACTGAAATTCAAGATCATCCATATTTTGATATGAGATGCATACTTGCGGCTACTGACAACTTCTCAGATACACTAAAACTAGGACAAGGTGGATTCGGTCCAGTTTACAAGGTGGCAATAGTTCAATTAAAAAAAAGTGTTGGTTGCCGAATTTTAAATAGATACTCTTGCTTTTCTGGATTTTGTTAAGTAGTTTCTTGTTTTTGATTGAAAGGGTATTTTATGGGATGGGAGAGAAGTTGCGGTGAAGAGGCTAGAGAGCTGGTCAGAGAAGGGTTCCGAAGAATTCAGAAACGAAGTCCTACTCATAATGAAACTTCAACATAAGAACCTTGTCAGGCTTCTTGGATTTTGCGCAGAACGAGAGGAGAAGTTGCTTGTCTATGAGTATATGCCAAATAGAAGTCTTGATGTCTTTCTCTTCGGTATACACCAGTCCTGCAGGGTCTCGTGAATAACATGCTAAATATCATATTTATCTGATATTTGGTAACTTCTTTTTTTGGTATAGACGCACAGAGAAGGATCGACCTGAGTTGGAGCAGACGTCTGAACATAATCATCGGCATCGCTCGAGGTCTGCTATATCTTCATGAGGATTCTCGTCAAAGAATCATCCACAGAGACCTCAAAGCAAGCAATGTATTATTGGATTGCGACATGAACCCAAAAATCTCTGACTTTGGACTGGCAAGGATCTTTGCAGGAACAGAAAATGAAGCAAATACTGCTACACTAGTTGGAACCTAGTAAGTACAGTTTCCTTCACAGGACTTAAATGATGTTCGAGAGTTCTTTGAAGTGATATAAATCTCGGCACTTTTAGCTTGGACTCTATGTTGCTTCATTTTGCCACAAGCTGACATTTTATTCTCTGCCTAGTGGTTACATGGCGCCGGAGTATGCAATGGAGGGGTTATATTCCATAAAATTGGATGTCTACAGCTTTGGAGTTCTCCTGCTGAGATAATAACAGGGGAGAGAAATGCCGGCTTTTGTCAGTCAAGATGTGCCTCGAGTTTGCTAGCCTATGTAAGTTATAACTCGATTACACCTCCGGCTTTCACACCATTCACGTAATTAAGACTTAATAAATTCGAAAAGAATCCTATATGAGAAAAGTTTTGAGGTCACAATGACAGAAAATTTGGAAGATCAGACAGTAAAATACAACAAATGTGCTATGGCATTAGACTCGTAAATCTCTAATTTTTGCTTATGCTTGTTCTCTCATACCTCGGTCATGGCATCGGTTGCTGTTTTTGTGCATATTGATGAATATTACTAGTTGCATTGCGCAACATGTTGGTCCGTTGCATCCTTTTTCTTTCGTAATTCCTGGTTGGCGTTTAGCATTAGAAATGATGGGATGACATAACTTTATTGCAGGCATGGCAATTATGGAATGAAGGAAGAGCAATGGAGTTGATGGATCCATTGCTCCACAACGAGTGTTGTCCTGAAGAATTCATGAAATGTGTCCACGTCGGACTTTTGTGCGTTCAAGAAGACGCGTTCGGCCATGTCGGCTGTCAATGTGATGCTCAAAATGGATGCTGTAATTCTCCATCAACCTTTTAAACCCGCCTTCTCGGTCAGCGGATTCACTCATTGGTCCAATGGAGGTGTTGAAGACAGTGATTATTCCGTTAATGGCTTGACGGTTTCCACTGTGGCACCTCGGTGAGAAAAGTCTACCCTAGGAGATAAACACGGTTCCTTGTACAAGTATACTGCTTGGACATGGTAACTTGTACACTAGTTATTCGCTAAACAACCGATTCTCAACCATAAGCTGTTTAATTATGCAAGATGTCCATCTCGGCTCGAGAGACATCGACACATCGAGGACCTTATCATTTTCCAACCTTCCTCATTGATTTTCATGGCTCTTGAGCCGGAAATAAAAGCTCCTAATATGAATCCATGTTTTTTTTTTTTTGGTGTGAATGTAAGTATTATAAACCAGATGAAGTACAGCAGCTTAGGGGCATCCCCCAGTATTATAATCCATGTTCTTCCTTATTGTTTGGTTGTGAATGGTGGATTTGATGCTGTTACTTTCTTTTTTTTGGTCTGTATGCTGTTACTTGATATGGTGCTATTTCCATTACTAAGATATTGATGAGGGCCAACCAGACTTGCGCATCAACCAGTTTAATAATGCGACCGCTCAAATTCCACATGTAGAGGAGGTCGTTATATACTTTATAAGCAATAATATATATAACCAAACTCCATGGAAGACATCGTACGAAACAATCATAAATCACGTGAATCCCATGTAATTAAACCAGAGTCGACAAAAGAGTCCTGCACAACGCTTCACTTTGCTGTATTTTAATACCGACCGACACTTTTTCATTGTTATTGCACACAGCAACTTGGGTCGAACTTCGAGGGGCTAGCGTGCCCCGCAGCCCGTCCGGGCCCGTGTCCTGACCGTGGACGATACATATTTCCAAGTTGAACATTGAGGCACTCCTATCCATGGACTTGAGCCGTCACGCTTGAACAAAAATATTATTGTCGTGCAGGTTATAACTCATGCCGAAGAGTCAAATTCAAATGGAATGACCCCTCCCAGTGGACAGAAGTAAAGAATATGACCAAAAACAGGGGTCGATGCACACGAAGTTTCTGAACATTTCATATGACTCTCCTTCGAGTGGAACGAAGTCAAGCGAGTTAAAAAGTCTTGAATTCCAGCCCATCATCTCTGAAAAAGCATCTACACTAAAATACCATTTCCAAGAAACATCGCCTTTTCATTGGCTTCAATTGCCGTCTTCGCCAAACCCAGATCTTGTGGACTCACGTAAAGCCAAAGAACAATGACGGGTCTCTGTATAATCCTAAGTTTTTCTAACTAATTTGATTTTAACATGTAATGCGATGAATTTGGATAATGTTCTTTGACGTTGGAGGGGAAAGCTGAAATAAAAATGAATGAAAGAAATAAAGGGTTCATACCACGAAAACCCCAAATGAGACACCTGTGATAAATTTACTACAAATTAATTTTGGGATCACAAAAAATCTCAAACAAGTACACATGTGACAAATTTATCCCAAATTAATTTTTTCACTACCAAAAATCCCAAACTGGTACATTTGTGACAAATTTATCATCCATTAAATTGAATTAATACTACGAAAAATCACAAACTCGTACACTTGCGACAAATGGAGGGTAAAATCCTAAACAGTACACCCGTTAACTGTCACGTGTAATCAAATTCATAAATTTGACCATAAAATTTAACGGAAACTAACGAATTGTAAAATTATCACAGGCATACCGATTTGGGGTTTTTGGTAGTCAAAAAATTAGTTTGTGGTAAATTTATCACGGATATACCTGTACGGGGTTTTTCGTCATATTAAACCATAACTAAAAGGTTTTATCCTGTTGGTCTGATTCCATTTCTAGAAAATGAAATATTCTTGGGTCTTCTAAGCCTTTCATCTCATGTCAACTTCAAGATGCTACAGTGAAGTTTCTCTTGGCTTTCATGGAAGAAAAGGCAGACAAATGACATTTCTCTTTTGCTGCAATTTTATAATAATTCTACTCTTGACCGACTTGAAGATTCTCCGCCCACCTTCACTGTGTTGAATTGTATCCATGCCATGGACCTTTCAACATTAGAGAAAACTTCTTCCCTCACCGTTTATGGAAATCATTCCCAGTTAGTGCCTCTTCACTGGTCTAGAATACAGTTTCGACCCTGAAAGATGGCACGAGATTCGAATCTTGTCACCTTTTTCGTATTCGTGGCATCAATTTTGTTTCTTGTCACACCCATTAATGGAAACAATCCTCTGCATGTGCTTTGCCCACCTGAAAAAGACAATTACACTTTTGGCAGGAATAACCTCGAACAGCTTCTGCGCATTTTGGCTTCTAGCACTGCTAAGACAGGCTTCAGCAGCCATTCTGCTGGGGATGGCACTGATCAAGTATTTGGTCAAGCACTTTGCAGGCATGATGTGGATAGGAGTGTTTGTGGGGATTGCATCAGGACTGCAAGCCAAGAGATAATGAGCCGGTGCAACAAGACAGATGCTGATATTTGGTATGATTATTGCCGAATATCTTATTCATATAATGATTTTTTCTCTGCGATGACTTACCAAGGAAAGTACCCAGAAAGTAATAGTCAGGAGAACGTATCGAATCCGGATGAGCAGAGCACCGCCCTGAAAAAATTGATGAATGATCTTAAAAGTGAGGCCACATTCGCTTCATCGAGGTTTGCGGTGGGCAGTTCGAAATTCTCGAGCCAAGAACATGTTTATGGCCTCGTGCAGTGTACAAAAGGAATCACTGGGGATGATTGTGATACCTGTTTGAGGTCAGCCTTGGGGGATCTGACAACATGTTGCTCTCCTCATCAAGGTGGAATGGTTGTCAGCAGATATTGCAATGTGAGGTTCGAGCTTTACCGCTTCTATAATCTGCATTCTAAAGGTAATTAATTTGGATTCTTTGCTTAGACTGTGTTGTTGGTCACGGAGTATTGATGTCTGTAGAAATTAGAAATGAGACCTGGGAAACTGCCATAAAAAGTTTTTGTAATCTTCCCGGTTTGAGAGTTCTATGGAAACAGCCAGAGGAAGAATTGCACAAATCATAGTATCCAAGTCTAGTTAAAAGTTTACAACTAACCATGAGTATACTGTTAGGGGAAAAACAGAACTGTTCGCAAGGACTGAGCGGTACTGAAGCTCGGTCATCTAAGTAAGGATAGTAAAATCAGCTATGCACGAGGAAATCCTTTTTTTCCAAGTGATTCAATCTAAGTAATAACTTTTCAGACGAAAGTTCTCGTATTGAGTTTTATCCATAGAAAGGATGTACCAGAATTCATCTACTTATAGTACATTAAGTACAAAATATGCAAGATATATATTTTTCCACGCAGAAAACTTTTACAAAAGAGTTTCTTATGAAAACAGAGGGATTGGATCGACCTGATGATCGACCAGCTGTCATAAAGCATTTCATTGACCTGACTGGATTCCAAAACATTTTGTTATTCTTTATTAGTCGGCTTGATGAGCAGCCTTGTTGGACATCGTGATTCTTGAGCCGATCCTAGCTGTTTTTATTATTTTCGCAGGCAGTAAAATTGCCTGGCTGACTTCTTGAGTTCTCTCTGCGGGAGTTGGAAATTGGATTTTGAATGTTTGTTCATTATTTGATGGTGACATTGTAGGTTTGGAGAAGGCAAGGATGATTTCGTTGGTCTTGGGTATTCTGGCAGGGGCATTGCTACTTTCCCTTGGGGTTTGTGTTGCCTTTCGAAGACAAAAAAAGATAACGACCAGAGGTATATTAAACACGTTAGTTTCAGTCACCAACTGATATCTCGAACACTGTTAATCACAATAATTCGGATCTTTTTTTTCTTTTTGGGTTTCCCAGATGAAGAGAAAGATGAGAATGCATTGCTACAGGAATTGGCGAAGCCCATTGAGCTATCGATTTCAAAACGGGATCTAGAATTTTCTGATGATATGCTTGTCATGAATTTGGCAACACTGAGGGCTGCCACGGTTAACTTTTGCCTTACAAACAAGCTCGGACAAGGCGGGTTCGGCATTGTTTACAAGGTTAAACATTTGATTGGATCATATTCAATTTGGTTGGAGAGTTTCCCTGAAAAACATAAACTGATGACTATTGTTTAAGTTGTTCCAGGGAATTCTACCAGATGGAAACGAAATAGCAGTAAAGAGGCTGTCGAGGAAGTCATGGCAGGGTGTAGAAGAGTTTAAAAACGAAATCAAGCTGATTGCAAAACTAAAACACAAAAATCTCGTGAGGCTTTTGGGGTGGGGCATAGATGGACATGAGAAGCTCCTCATATATGAATACATGGCCAACAAAAGCCTCGATGTCTTCCTCTCTGGTTAGTCCTCGTACAGTCTGTTTTCTCTCACAAGTGGACCACACTCCTATTA